TACCCACAAACCCAGTCAATCCAAGGGCCAGATGGGCTCCCAGAGACGGCCCAGCAAGGCAGCAAGCAGCCTGCCTCCCAGCCCCGTCTCTGCCACTTGAGAGCTCTTCGACTATGGGAGTTAGTAACTGGTGGGATCCTTCATTCATACATATTTCATGTATATTTCAGTACGTATATTTTGAAGGACTACCATGCATCTGTCCTTAGGGTAAGTGCTGAGATTACAGGTGTGGGGAAGTACGAGCTTTTTTCTTGGGAGAAGGGAGGCATCTACTACGAGCTGAATCTCTCAGACTTCTACTGACCCATCTATAGAATAGAGGAGAGATGCTATTTTTGATATCACAGGCATCTCCTCAGGCTTAAAAAAAAGCATAACAATAAAATTCTAACATTTTATGCAGACAGTTGGGAGATACAAAGGGGACCAGAAATTTATTGAGTCCCTGCTATATGCCAGTAGCTGTGAGCAATGTTTTACTGATACTACCTTACTCCATGCAATGATGCTGTAAGCCAAGCTATATTATGCCATTTTAGAGATGGACAAATTGAAGTTTACCAAAGGCAACAAGAGGGTTATTATACTCAGTTAATAACCATGTGTGGAGAGCTTTCTTCCTGCCAGGAACTGACTGGGTAAGATGCTGGGCCCTAAGGGCTGTGCCAGACTCAGAGGGTGTTACGCTGCTGTGAGCTAGAGGCAGAGAGGGACACTGGGTGAGAAGTCACAGATGTGACGTGTGCCATTTGAGGACAAAGACGCTCAAAGCATATGAAAGGGAAAACTCACCTTTTTGGAAGATTAGGACAATCCTCTGAGAGGAAATACCTTTCCTCTTCCAAAAAGCAGAGATCTGATGGAGGAATTGGCATCAGCAAGATTGAGAAGAGGTGTGCCTCCATAGGGTCCCCCGGGTCCCATTACAGAGTTTGGACTTGCCTGCAGGGTGATTGCGAGCCTCCAAAGCAGCCGAGTGGGGAAGTGACTTGATGGTTTTAGAAAGGTGGCTTTGGCCGCCGGATGCAGAGGGGGATGTGGGGAACCAGACAGGAGCCCGATTAGGCGGGAGGTAAGAGCGTGATCTGGACTGGAAGGAAGGGAGCAGGGGCAGCAATAAGCAGGGAACTTTCAGTAGGAATCTAGGAAGGCTCCCAGGTGTTTGCCCTGAGGATATGAGTGCCTGGTAGTGCCATCTTCCCACTGCGGGAGGAGGTGGAGGCGGGGTTAGCGGATCTCAGAGATGCCACACAGTGGCCACGCTGGTGCAGAAGGAGATTGTGTAAGAAGATGGGCAGTACGCTGTAGAAACCAGAGGGCAAATATGGAAACACTGAGAAATAGAATGCTGGGCAGAGACAACTGGGAGAATGAAAGCAATGAGAGCTAAACAAACGTGGGCTCAGGCTGTATGCAGGGAACAGAACGGAAGGTGGGGGAACACGCAGGATGGGCTGCACTCATCCGCAGCGGAAGGACTGCAGTGGCAAAGGGGTTGGCCTGCACGAGTGAACCAGACCCCTTCCTGCTGTAGTACCATCCTTTCCTCTGAAGAGGCGATGCTGGTGGTGGGTACCCTGCTCCTCTCACCAAGAGAAGCAGAGACTGTTAGACATCTGTCTCTAGGAATCCCAAGGACTGTCTGTCTCAGGGCAGCACGTGAGAATGGCAGGTGGAGACAGTGTTACACTTTCCTCCCCACAAAAACTACTTTTCCCCCGGGAAGGAACTGAGTATGTGGGAGGTATTCTTCAGTGCCCCCATTTCTGAAATCATTAGTCCTCAGCCCTTCATCCAGGGCTATGACAGGCCCCTTAAAAGGCAGGCATTTTCCTCGCAGTGCCGGCCTGTCTGTCGTGGCTAGAATCCCAAATCTGAACAGAAAGCCCTCCACAGGCTGTTGTCTTTCTTTTTTCTCTGGGTGTATCTAGCTCCAGGCCGACTGTGCCTGACTTTCTCCTCGCAAGGACCACTCAGTTGAGAACCCTGGGGGTGAACAGGGCCCAGTAACTGAGTGCCTCCTGCCTCCGAATTGGCTTTCTGATCACTCTCTGTCCAAGCCAGGGGCCTCTTGTGTGCAGATTTCTCCCTGAGTAACATTCACTTTTTTAAGACTCCAGGGCTGGATTCTATCAGCCATCAGGAGCCTGTGTGCTTTGGGAAGCCTGTGGGGACCCAACAGTCTTCTGAAGATACAGATTACCTGCATATCCAGCAGAGTTTAGTTAAACATGACTGATTAATTTATCGTGCAGTGTGAGGTGGGGATTCATTTCCTTTGCAAGTTGACTTGGCAATTTTGTCTGCTTTGAGAACACTTAGAATGGATGGTGTGCATGGCAATCGAGAAGAAATAGATGTTATTAATTTTCTATTTTCAAATGTGAGATTGACTATGGAGGCCACATCCCATCCCCCTCAGAAACACAGACCACATCCTCTCCTGCTCAGAGCCGTGCAACACCCGAAAGCCTGGGAAGGGAGAGCTGTCTCCCCACAAGGCTGCGAGCCGGGCCAGTAAGTGAGCGAGTGTGGTGCTCCCAAGGCCCTGCCAAAGCCACGAGTCCCAGCCATCGGCAACAGCTCCTCCCCCTTGTATTGGTGTACGTGGCTTAACAGGAGATGCTGGCTCCTGTCATCTGCAGGCTGTGACTTTATGCAGCCCATCTGTAAAGACTGAAGGGAGAGGAATGGAGGCACAACTTTGGATGTCAGGCCATGGTGATAGATTTCCAAAAAGCTAGGCATCCTAAAGGGATAACCAAGTCCCTCCAGCACAACATTCTGTCCTGATGGAAATACTCTGCATCTGTGCTGTCCCATATGGCGTCACTAGCCACGTGTGATGATGGAGAACTTGGAATGGGGTGGGTGCTACTGAGGAACTAAATTTCAATTTTTATTTAATGTTAATGAATTTAAATGTAAATAGCCACATGTGGCTAGTGGCAGCTGTAGTAGACAAAATCAGTATCCATTTCCATCCATTTCCTGTGTGGTCAAAGCCAGTTTCCTTTAGGTGCGCCTCTCTTACTCGTATTCTCAATGCTGTGATGTTTGCTCTCTGCTTGCCTATAAATCTTGGATTTAAAAATAAGAACAGCGATACTGGCAGTGGTACTCATCGCAGCTGGCATGTGCCGAGTAGTGGCTCTGCCCCCTGTGCTGTGCTAAGAAATTACACACCTTGTCTAATTTCTAGTCTCATGATGACAGCCTGGGTTTACAGATGAGAAGCTGAGCAGGGAGAGGTGAAGGGACTTGAGTCGCCCAGCCTGTGGTCGTGAATCTGGGATTCGTTTGAGGCTGGGTTACAGCTGTTAGACCCCCACCACCTGTCAAGAAGCTTCTCGGGGCTGTGTTCTGGCTGGTGTTTTAAGACAGAGTCACATCCCTGCTGTTGAAAGCAAGACAGGGTCTTGCCATGCACAACTTGGGTGTAAACAATGGCCCCGCACTCCCTGCTTTGCAGAATTTAGATTCAGATCCTGCCGGGAGTGGAGGCAGCACTTAGTGAGAGCGCTGGGATGGTGCAGACCCAGCCTGGGTCTGCCATGTCCCCCCAGATGGAGGGCAGGCGGGGTGAAGGGGACCTTTCCTGCCTGAGGTCTGGGAACCTGGGCTCTCTTCCCCATCAAGCTCCAGCCTAAGGAAACATGGACTTTCCTGAAAGCAGATGAGGATTGTGAAAATGAGGACAGGATCTGTGTGACACTGTTTTCTGTGAGAGAAGATATACCCTGCCCTCTGCAAGGCAGGGTCACCCCAATACAGTGAGAGCCTGCATTGAAGCCTGGATTGGAGTTCGCGCAAGATTTACTCATTCACTGCCGCCCCGTGCCTTCCAGTGGGAGGCCTTGGGCATTTGAAGTGGTCTGTCTGTACTGGTAAATTCCAGCCTCAATCTACATCCCCTCAGCGCCACTGAAACATTCAGAACTGGGCTCTGTACTGTAACAACATTTTGCCTGGCTTCATCACAGCCTGCCTCTTGTAGCTTTAGAATACGGGAGAAGTGACAGTTGTGGCGTTCACTGCTTGTTCCCTTCTTACTATCGGGATTTGGCCCCTCATGTCGCTAATTTCTGCCCCTCCAGATGCTAAAGGCCATTTTATGCACTGCTGGATTCTCTGCCTCTTGTCAGGGGCCCACTGCCTGGGCCTCTGTTGGGACCTCAGTGCCCAGCACCAGGGGACAAGCGGGGAGCCAAGGGAGAGTGAGCTCCCTTCCCCGCACTGGGGATCTTTCCCTTCAAGCCTAGGCTCAGCGCTCCCCAAGACCTTCGCCTAGCAGGCACCCAGCCAGCCAGCCATCGGGGTCTGCCCCTTATTCTCAGAACATACTCACGAATGTTCCTTGGCCCTAATTCCTCTGTCACAGCCTCAGAGATGAGCTGGACAGTCACACATGGACTCTTCCGTGAAGAAGGCCTCCATCTGTCTGCAGAAGAAAGTCAAACCAGCCTGTCAAAGGCCAGGAATATAGGCCACATCCACAAATACCAAACCTTAGGCTGAAAATGAAGTTAAGAGTCTGTGTTACCAGGGTCTTCTGGTGTCCCAGACAGCCTCTTCCAAGAGCATTAGCTATTGCCAAGTATGAATCTCTTGGCATGAGTATGGTGGAAAATCTCATCTTATCTGGCAAATGGCCGTGGCAAGTTTTATCTGGTTAGCAAGAGGGATCCATGATGGCCTTTGGGGCTGATGCACAGCTGCGGGACCATTACAGCTTGGTTAACAGATCGACATAGTCCAAATTCAGCTCTGAAGGCTGCTGCTTGCCTGGAGTCTGGGTGCTCTGTCATACTCCATGACCTTGGGTAACAGCACCTTGGGGGTGTTTTCAAAGTGTGGGTGAGGAGTTCTATCGTGGTTGTATCACGGTTGGAGAGGAGGTTTGTTTTGAGCGTAGCTTTGGCTTTGTGTGGGTTTGGCGGAGAGCTCGCAAGAGATGGCCCGTGGACTCAGCCTGTCTTTCATTTGCTTTTCTCCAGCCTGCACAGACAAGGACTTGAGGAACCTTGCTTCCCGGCTCAAAGACTGGTTTGGAGCCCTTCACGAGGATGCAAACAGGGTCATCAAGCCCACCAGCTCTGACACAGCCCAAGGCAGTAAGACCACTTTACTCTCGCTAATTTATTTCATTTAAAATTCCACCATCTGTAATTAGACATTGTGGATTTAACAATAGCATTTGGAGGTGATCAAAGAAACACTTTGTTAAATGTGCATACTGAGAGTATGTCCCAGTTTGAGAAATATTACAATATGGAGGAGGGGGAAATCTCTTAGAACTGCAAATAATATACAACTTCTATTTTTAAAAATTTGGCAGAAATTGTCATACATTTACATTTTGGAAAATGTATTAGGTATATATAAAAATACCAAAAAAATCTATACCCCCCCAACCTTTTAACAACTCTAAGCATTTTGTGGTGTATACCTCGAATTTTTTTTTCCTTGACATACAGAAACCACGTGTGTGCATGTATGTACCACAGATACTTTACAGACTATTTTCTGGCCTTTTACCATTTAGCCATATACTATGAATTTCTTTCTGTGTTGTTGAGTACAGTCTGCTTTGCAATAGCTACAGAGAACTCTGTAGATATAACATAATTTATGTAATTCAACCTTTACTTTGCTGCACTGAAATTGATCCTGACATTCAGCTATTAGAAGCAAAGAACTTTGATAATCTATCTTTGTAAACATTAGTCAGACTGCATTTTGTTTTCCACAGAAACTCTCAGAGAAGTGTCTCCTCCCCTACCACTCTGCTGGCAAAATTCATACTCTGAGCCTCTTCATAAGCTGCAGGAAAAACTCAGAGTGGGTGTACGTATTTGTGCTCTGATGCCGTCTCTCAGTGCCTTAGACTCAAAGACCACTGGGTATCGGCTTCTCCTTCCTGTGCGTGATCAGCACAGAATGGCCTCGGCAGTGACAAGTGTTCAGATGCTTGGAGTTTTGCAACAATGTTGGGATCCAGAGTTTAACCAGCATCTAGTCTTCAGCCAGAATAAGAGTGATTGCCTTAATTTTTGCTTATTCTTTGCTGCTCGTAGCCGAAACTCCCAGTAGAGAACATTGATTGAGGAGACAATTCTTTCACTTGTTTAGATCTTTTATCTCAAGGGAAAAATAGATGGTGTTTGTCTCCCAGAATCTAAATATCGGAAGAGGGGTTCCTGGTTGGTCTGTGGGCAAGGGGAAGTAAGATGGCTTCTTCCCTCCCCTGTTGGAGGCTTGCTTGAGAGTTTGTGGGCAGTTAATTCACAGGTGGTCTAGAGAAATATTTCCCTGGGATCCTCCAAGAGCAGCAGGCCCTTGGGCTTTCTGCATAACCCTTTCAACAAAGAGTAGATTGATGCGTGGAGAGCTGCTCCTGCAGCTACGGGTCCCGGGAGACTCCTTCTGCAGGCAAGTCGGGAGCCTTTGAAAGACCTGCCCTTGGCCAGAAGCAAATTGAGTCCCTGAAGAGGCTTTTAGGTTTGATGTCCTGAAGCAACTGGAATGAAAGCAGTAAACAGGAATGAATGACACTGGTTAGCCCGCAAGGCCACAGGAGGGAGAGGTGTTAGTGTCAGCCAGCCAGTGCTGTAGGGGAAACTGTGGACTATGCTTGAAGCTCTACATGCTTGGGGACAACAAGAAGGGCCTGCTCTGTTCCCCCCTCCACCCAGAGGTATCAGATACAGGGGCCCCTCTTCTGGAAACTTCTAAATAGGTGTGGGGTGGGCTTGACCTTTAGACTACTGCCTAACCAGCCTTGTGCTTCCTTTTGGTGGTCAGCCAGCAGTAACTCCTCTTTCCCATGTATTCAAATGTTAATATCCTATAAAATTGATGCATCTCATATAAATTTCCTATATAAAAGTGTGGAGTCATTTAGCATCAGTGTGAATGATCTTCCCTTACGTGGTAGCCCCTGGGGACATCATCACCACAGACTCTTCCATCATGACCTTCAGTCACCGAGGCCACGCTATGTCCCATGGTCTCTCTCTTCTTAAAAAAGGGGGTGTTTTCTAAGATGTGTTCTAAGATATTCAAAGCAATACATTTTAAAATGGAAAGATTTTATGTTTGGAGAGAAACTTTGCAGTAGCTAGAAAAGCTGCTCTCAACACAAAAACTTTTATTGAGCACCTACTATGTGTGTACTGGCTGAGGCCCCTTAAGGGAACAGTCTTTGCCTCAAGGCACTTAGAGTCTAAGTGACAGACCTTGGCAATGAGAGGAAGTCAGGGTTCTTGGAGACTCAGAGGAACAGGTGTTACATATGTTTTACTGGCCTCTGGACAGGGAAAATTCCTTTGTAAAGACACTTTTAAAAAGGATGAGTATGCTTTGCTCTATCTTATACTCGGCTAAACAGGGGCTCCTGGTATGCATGGAGGAGCCCCAGAAGAGGGAACTGATCCCATCAGGGCCCTCAAATGCAGTCACTGTATCACCCCCATCCCCAGACATGCCACCCAAGCCAGAGGATGTCCTCCATCTAGGAGGACTGTGAGTCAGCCCTGGGAGTGGAGGGATTGAGGATATAGACTCAGGGTTGGGCTGTCTGGGTTCGAATCCCAGCTCCACCATTTTATGAGTTTGAGCTTTTTTTTAATTTTTCATCTGTAAAGTGGATAGGATGTAGCATCATTTCATAGAACTGTTACAAGGATTCAGTGACATAATTAAGTATAAAGTACTTAGAAGAAGGCCTGAAGTAACACAAAAAGTAAACTTTCATTATTTTTCTGGGAAAATGACTCTAGTTCTTGCAGCCCAGCTTATGGAGCAACTTGAAATTGCATGGTGCTTTTGATTCTGAAGACAAAACGGGGTCTGGATTTGGGGCACGCCTTCTCTGGGGTTTGTGCACAGTAGACCCAGTATCTGGAGTGTCAAGCAAGGTGTCATTACCTGGGTGCATACAATTCCCAGTGTGGACACAAATAATTCTTTAAGAAAACTACCCCTTTTCCCCTATGGAAATAAGAAAGGAATCATTGAGTCGGTTTGGATTCCATATCATGCATCTCTGGAGGGGGCTGTGGAAACAGAGAAGGGGGAGCCCAGGCAGGCACCCAGCTTGGTTTCCCCTTTGGGCTCACACTGCTTGTGTTTGACATTCCTCTGGGACATCGCCAGTGCTTCTGGATTGTGCCGTGTAGTTTCATTTCTTTGCCCTCCTTTTTACCATAGTTTCTTTTGTTTGGGTTTTTGAAATAATTTTCCCCCTAAATATAAAAGCATAGTTTACAGTATTATAATGTAGTCCTCTTACCCACTTGTATTTACCCCTCCTTTCAGACATACCCTGTTTTAAACAAGTCCAGCAAATGAAAACCCCAATTTGTATCACAGATTAATTAGCATTGGGAATTTGTGTCCTTTAGAACCTATTTTCCTCAAATGCTGACTTCTGTTTTAGTACATTCCCAATTGTTTCATTTAAAAACCGACAGCATATTCTGGTAGTGCCCCACGGAGGCCGGGCCCCTGGAGGGAAGTGGCCTCAGAGGCGGCAGTGGTGGTGGGGAGGACCGGCCTTGGGGGCAGCTGAGACGTGCCCTTCCCTTGGCAGGGTTTGACACCAGCATCCTGCCCATCTGCAAGGACTCCCTGGGCTGGATGTTCAACAAGCTGGACATGAACTATGACCTTCTGCTGGACCACGCAGAGATCAACGCCATCTACCTGGATAAATATGAGCCCTGTATCAAGCCTCTCTTCAACTCCTGCGACTCCTTCAAGGATGGCAAGCTCTCTAACAACGAGTGGTGCTACTGCTTCCAGAAGCCTGGAGGTAAGGACCACACGCCGCGTCCGGGCCACGCAGGTGCAGTGCAGTGGACAGAAGGACAAAGCTGGAGAAAAAGGCCTCCATGATTTAATGGCAGGCCCAAAGGCTCTTTTCTCGTAATTTGTTTCCACTTTTAGCATGGTGTATTAAAATAATCCAGGAGTCCACTATTCAGTTCTCTTTTTGGGATAAATCTCTTAACCATATTGTGCCTCAGCTTTTTCATCTGTGAAATGGGTGTAGAAACCTTTGCTACCTAATTCCCAAGATCATTTGAGATTCTTACTGTGAGAAATATGAGTTGTCATGAATTCTGTCCCATGAATTCCCCATGTAATCCTTGGAGAAAGCCATTTGTCAGCTTCTCTAGGGTAAGTACGAATTTATACTGAGTGTCTTAGATAAGGATGTTTGGGTTATTAAAAAACACTGCAGCTAATTTAAGAAGGAGTCAAGACTGGAGGGGTGTATGGAAAAAATACAGGAGGATCTCATGAATGGGAAGTGGAAGGGTCAGTCTGCAGGGTGTGCCCACTCGGGACTCAAGAGTCTCCGGAATCCGGAGGCAGGAGCTCTTGAGTGTCCCTGAGGGGCCGCACAGTCTGGCTCTGTCTCAGCTTCCCAGGTGTGGGGATCCACAGCTCACGGGACCAGCTGAGACATGGCTTGGGTCTGAATTCCAGTCCCGTGTCCCAGAAAAGACTGGTTCAGCCTGAGTCAGATACCCAAGATGATGCACTATGACCATGGCCAGCAGAACCCATCCCCAGGAAAGGAAGCTGGCTACTAACGTTAAAGTACTTAAATTACGTGTGTGTATGTACACATGCAGACTCAACACACACACTGAGCAAAAAAATGTGGGCATTACAAAAGGGCACTCAGTGAAAACTAAGTACATGTGTATGTTTGTAAGACTCTAAGTTACATTCCTAAAAGCATAATTATTGGTTGAAAGGGCATGTGCATTTTTAAGTTTGAGCGATATTTCCAATTTGCCCTCCAAAAAGGCTGTACGATTTTCACTGTCACCAAAAATATACAAGAATACCTAGTTCTCAGTGGTGTGGCCAAACTTTGAGATCGCCAATGGGAGGGACAAGAAATTATATTTCCTTATGAACTTCATTCCATTTCTCTGTTGAAGACTTAGACTGAGACTCCTTATGTTTGAGATATTCTTGAGTTACCTTTTCCTTGAAATGTGTATTTTTTGGGGGGGAATTGTTTTCTAGTATGTTTTTAGTAGGAATTTTCTAAAATAAAGACATTAGAACTGTTTTTGTCTAACATATGGCAAGTATTCTCTCCCAACTCTGTGCAGTTTTGCTCTGAAGAAATTTTAAGATAGTCATATTTCTCCATCTTTTATTTTATGGTTTCTTGGAAGCCATAAAGCTTAGAAAAGTATTCTCCACCATGAGAGAGCAAAGCAATTCTCGTGTTTGTGTTCTCTTCAGTACCTTTCAGTTGGTTGTTTATTGAAATCTTACACCACTTAAGATTTCAATAGTGTAGCAACCCAGCCCTCCTTCGAGGTAGTTGTCCAGTAAACCTCTGCTATTTATTTACTAACTCATCATTCTCCCTCTAGTCTGAAAAACTGCCTTTACCAAATATAAAACTTGTATGTCTATTCCTGGGTACTCTGTCCTATTAATCTAACTTTTTGTAAATCGGTTCTAAGCTGTTTAAATCAATCACAGTTGTTTCACAATATGTTTTAATATCTAGTGGGGCCACCCTCTCCTGCCATTAATCTTTCTTCAGAATTTTCCAGGATATATTCTTCTATGCCTGAATTTTAGAATCAGCTTGTTTCTATTTAAAAAGTTCTTGCTGGTATTTTCTGATAGAGAGAATCGTTGGCTATATAATATTGAGTTTTTATCCCAGAGCAGGATCTGTTAACCAGTGGAGTTACATTTAAGCTTGTTCTTACAGACACCATACTTTCCCCGTATCTATTGTTACTGCCATTATAAACAATCCAGTTTTCCTTATTATATTTCCTTGCTTGCTGGTGGTAACACCATACTTTCCCCGTATCTATTGTTACTGCCATTATAAACAATCCAGTTTTCCTTATTATATTTCCTTGCTTGCTGGTGGTGGTTTCCATATGAATTTTGTTCCTAGCCGCCTTAGCACATTCAAATAGTCACTTTGGTTGGTTTTCTTGGATTTTCAGGTGTGTAATCATATCATCTGCAAATAGTCCCTTATTATATTTCCTTGCTTGCTGGTGGTGGTTTCCATATGAATTTTGTTCCTAGCCACCTTAGCACATTCAAATAGTCACTTTGGTTGGTTTTCTTGGATTTTCAGGTGTGTAATCATATCATCTGCAAATAGTGGTAATTTTTTCTGTTCAGTTTTTATACCTCATTTCTTCCTCTAATCGCATTAGCTCATACCTCCAAATCGATGTTGAATTGCAGCCATGTGTTTACTTTAGTAGAACTGCTGGTAGCGATTCAGTATTAGGCTGAATGATAGCTTTGGCCTTCAGCTCACATACAATCCTGTGACTTTGCATCAGTAACGAGCCATTGTAGTCACGGGAGAACCCACGGCTCTGTCACACGCGGGAGGTGCAGATCATTTCAAATCACATTATAATTGCAGCAGAAGTCTTGGAATATCATTTACGCTCAACCTTACTTGAAGATGATGGTAGCTTTATTAGACCCACTGCTCCATCTTACTATTTGGTGCATTAATAAAGATGCATGTGTAGAAAAAGAGAAAGAAAAAAAATCCTGTGACTTGAGCCAGGTTCAGGTGCAGCCTGAGTAAGCACAGTGCTGCTGGGCCCTGAGAGGGAGGTTACTGCCCTACCCACACCACGGACCCGGCCACATGGGCTCTCCCACCCTTTCAGCAACTGCTGAAGGAAGCCAGGGCCCCCAGCCACGGCACGAGCAGCATCCAGGAGGAGCTGAATAAGGCACAACACATGTACACTTGTAGTTCTTTTTTTTGCTGTTGGGTTCCTACGACCTCCCTCCCTGACCCATATCTGGGAGCTGCGCTTGACTAAAATTTTTCTCCATAGAACTCCTTAAGCTGTGGCTCACAGGGGTTGGTATCTGGAATTTTTATTATGGCTAACTCTACGATTAAGTCTCTGAGTGCCTTTTTTTATGGAGAGAGCACTTTTCAATACTATAAAGTTTGAGTTTTATTCAAAAATTCTCACAGGAATTCTAGTCCTTGGTCCATTTGCCAATGTTTCTATTTTGTTTATATAAAGTTCTTGGATTCACAGTTTCTTTGATATGTTTTTTAAACACTATTCTCCTAGCACTGGGTGTAGCTACAGAATAATGAGGAGCCATACTAATTTTTCCCATCTTATGTGTGATTTGGCCTAGACGCCAAAATGATTCTTTACCTTTGAAGGACATGTTATACTCTTTTAAGCTCTAGAGTTAAATTGTTTTTGTTGTTCCATCTGATTTGTTCCATCACTAACATGGATGTTTCTCTCATCAGTTTTGTCGCTTCAGCTTCATTCCTGTGTCATTTTTGAGCCTTTGTGTCTGTCCAGTAGAGGCTAGTTTTGTGCAGCTTCTTTTCATTAGAACCCATGACTACCCAGAGAAATGTGTGCTAATCATTTTCATCTGCTCAGCAGCAGGCATTTTTCTGTTATGAATTCTTCATCTGGCGTTTTGTCTTATTCGTTCTTGCAGCAATTTTTAGTCTCAGTCAGATTCGTTTTTCCTTATCTTTCAATGAGTAAGCGCTTTAAATTACTGTAGGGTGACTTGAAGGAGGGGCCTTACAGATGGAAACCTGCTTCACAGTCATCGGTCTGGTAGGGTGTATATGAATGATGGTGCTCTCTCTTCCTTCTCCGGAGCAGTGTTCCAAGTGCCTACAGTTTCTCCTCTGGGTTTCTGCATAGTTACAAAAGCAACATTTGCATGTGCATAGGTAGTTAAGCGCCCTGCGCATCAGAACCCCTCTGTCCGCGCCTGGAGGAAGACTATGAGCAAACGGCAGAGCCACGGGATCTGCTAAGGCAAGTCATGGTGAGACTCAAAAACTAGAAAGGTCACCTTTCTTTTTGCTTAGAATGGAAGGAAGATGTTCTCTTTCACACGCCGTCCTTAGCCAGGTGGCTCCTGCTGTATCAGGCCTTGAGAACTGGCAGCTTTGTGTTCATTCATGACCCATGGGTGCTTTATAACTGAGGTCTGGGAGGCTGAGAGAGGGTCTTGCCCAGCGGACTCAGTTATGGGATGGCAGTGCTGAGAATGAAGGTCTGAGTATTCTCTGTCTTCACATTTGTCACCTTCCTGTCGGTTAGTGGGCCAGTGGATTCAGAACACTTACCCACTAGAAAGCTGTGGTCCTGGTTCTCAGCTCAAACGAATCTTAGCTGAGTACTGACTTCCTTACATAAAGGAAAAAGCCTAGTATCAAGTCACCTAGTAGATACCTGGTATTTGATTGCATGGCTGGTGGGAAGAAAAATTCCTGTACAGTGCAAGTAGCCCCCAAATACTATTTTAAGGAGCTCCTGGTAGAAGAATTTTTAAATTAGAACTCGAATGGCCTGAATTTGTTTTGCTGCATAGCAGCAATAGCAGCAGCATATGGAGCGGTCCCACTCCCAGGTGAGTCAGTGTCTGCATTTCACATCAAGAGTGACGCCAATCATTAGAGATTATATCCGGTACCATCTGGAAACTTTCATAAATTATTTTTTAGGTCTCCCTTGCCAGAATGAAATGAACAGGATTCAGAAGCTGAGCAAGGGGAAAAGCCTGTTGGGTAAGTACAGTTTCTTGCCACTCGCTGAAACTAATTAAACCATCCATGTCTGGAGCACCGCAATGGTTATTCAATTAGGGACCAGCATTTCCTAAAAGAAATGCCTCATTTCACCCCAGACAGGTCTCTTCCAGGCACCCCAGACAGGTCTCTTCCAGATGTGAGGCTAGGTGAGCTGGCTGAGGGGCCTGCCAGAGCTGGAGTCCAGCACCATCTCTACTGTGAGTGATCGTTCAGTGGCCACCCTGGGAAGAACTGGAGCCCAAGTTTCTTACATAATGTCCTCTATTTCCTAAATCAAGTTGTCCACTTAAAGAGGAAGATGATGAGCCATACTCCCCTCTAAATTTATCAAACAGGTTTCAAGGACTTGAGTGTGTTTTTATGTTTCTTGTGCATGATCCCTGGAAGAAAGCACAAGGCGAGATCCTTCATGCTTCATCTTTGTCCAAATAGAAAGACAGAGGGATTGGGTTTTTTTCCTGCCAGGCTGGCCTGTTAAAAAGTTAACCTTTCAGCTCCATACCCGTCCTCTGGTGTTCAGAACTAGGCTGCTGCAGAGACAATGGTAAGCCTCATTTGTTCACCAAAGAAATGAGTCCGTCTTGCTTTTCGAAAGAGAGCTGACAGCTGCCACACATTATTCCAGAACTATTGTTAAACATGCAGAAGCCGGTACATTCCCATGTAGTCTCCTAGTTCAGATGTTTAGCTATTTACTTGAAAGACACGGGCAAGCTTTTTGGAGATATAGGTGGCCTGCGAGGTCTGGCAGATCCTCCTTTACTGATTGGGTTCGAGTGATGTGCCTAAGGTCCACGGGTAGTTACAGAACTGGTATAATGTTATTTTAAAAACATTACTTTCATTGGACATTTTCTTCCATTAGTTAATGATGAGTTGAAATATTCATAAGATGTGGGGTTGAAATAAAATGACCTGTCTCCAATTTTGACCACCTTACATGAATGAAATACCTACCACAGAGCCCACCTCATTTAAGGCTTACTTTATCACCTCTCCTCACCCGTGGAGATTACCCTGGCTGACTCATTACAAATTACTTTTTGCATGGGGGAATCTAAACAGGTCAATGTCATTTTTATGTGTACTCAGGGGCATTCAGATTCAAAAAAATAAACAAGCAACAATAAATTATAATCAGTTATATTTACTACCTACTTAGGAAAAATAGTAATTCTATTACATTATATATTTAGAGCAGCGCTTACTTCTTAGCAACCATGGGGCTCAGCCCAGTATACAATTTTTTTGGTCTATTAAGCGCCATTGTTTTCCAACTGCAGTTCAAAGAGGAGGATCAGCATCTCCCCAGCTTATTCTCCCCCTTTGTAGAGGATCTCCTGAAAAACCTGCCTTTTGAAAGCATCTACCTTTTCTTCCTCCTTCTCCCCAAGCATTCAGCCAGTGCACAGCACCCCTAAAAAGAGCACCTTTCTATCCATTATCTCCTTTGATCTCTGAGAGCTTGATCATCTTGCAGTAGCCTGGTGAGCTGAATCTGAGGTTGAATCCAGGTTCAAAATAATCTCTGCCTCCCATGGTACCCATCTTTCCGGTGTGTATTACATGAAACAAAAAAGGTAAATTTAAAAACATAAGCACTCTAAAAATTAGGAGAGAGAAAGCTGCTGTAATAAGCAGAGACCTCTGTCTTTACATGGTTGATGTAGATAATGTTACTGCTCAGGTCACGCTCAGGAGAATTCTGTCCTTGAAGATGAGCACGTGACCAGTGAAACACACACCCTAAGAAAAACTATCACAGATCATATCTTCAGCAATGCGCATTCAAATATGATGACAGGTATTCTGAAACAATAGGTTGGTGATACTTCAGTAAGGCTAGGGTTAGTAAACCTAAAAGATTTACTTTGCAGAAGACAAATCATCCCAGAAGGAGCTATTGAGGTGCAATTGTAGAAAATAATACATGCTGTTAAATCTGAATAACTAAGACCAAAAAATATGCTTCTTTGTGGAAACTTCAAGGATAACAATAAGAATATTGGAAACAGAATATATAGTTTTAAACACAAAATAAGAGCAGCAAACATACCTAATCACAATAAATGGGCCTAGGCCGAACTCACTTCTTATGACACCGTCAGTTGGTATACCCACAACTTCACAAAAGAACAGAACTGCAAGGAGAAATTGTCATATCTACCTCTTCCTGCAACGTTTTAAGTTCAAGAAGACCAAAAAAGCTATCAAATTCCCTTACTACAACACAAGAAAAAGAGAAATCAAAGATGCAAAGCTGAATGAAAACAAAAGCACTATGTGCCAAAACCAGAGGGAAGCAACTAAAGTGAATGAAATTCAGTGAGCTTTCATAGGTTCAAATGCATTAATTAAAGGAAAAATTAAATCAACTAAGTTTTCAAATCAAAAAGCTATAGGGAAAATACAATAAATAATTAAGACTAAAGCAGAAAACAATGAAATATACAAACCTTTGGCAATACGAGAGGCTCAAATACTGTCATGAATTTAAAAGTGGGCTGTGCCCTCAGATAATAGAACACTACAAACTTTTGGGTCTCAAACTTCAGCCTGTATCAGAATTACCTAGAGGGCTTATCAAAGTACAGTTTGTTGGGCCCCAGTCGTCTCAAAGTTTCTGATTCAGTAAGTCAGTCTAGGGTGGGTCCTCAAGAATTTTTTTTCTAAGATTTTTCCAGGTGATGATACAGTTGCTGGTGCTGGGACCATACTTTGAGAACCACTGCTATGAACCAACTTTTAACATTTATGAAAACCTAGTTGAAATGGATATTATGGGTCACCAAGAAACAGAAAACCCGTCTAGACTGAAAAAAAAAATCATAAAATTAATTAAAATGCACCTCTCACCCCCCCACCCACAAAATAGGCACTAGGCCCAAAATATGGGTGAATCCTTCACAAAAAATATCCTCATTTTATACATGTATGGAGTAGACAAAAATCGAAAAATATATGACTTTATGAATTAGTTGCTTTGATATGGAAATTGAAGAAACAAAACTATATGCCTCTATCACTTAGTAATGTAGATGTAAATTCCATCAGTAGTATTACAATAGCATTATATCATGACAAAGTAGTAGTTATACCAGGAAAGCAAAGGTATGTTTTTTTTAATTGTTCTACTTATTCATCTCATTAAAAGTATATGAAGGATAAAAAAACAACAACATGGTTTTCTCAAGTGCTAAAAAAGCCATTGAATCAAGAATAGAAAATCTGAGCATACCAATTACTAGTAAGGAGATTGAATTAGTAATCAAAACTTGCCCAGTGAAGAAAATCTCAGAACCAGATGGCTTCACCAGTGAATTTTGCCAAACATTTAAAGATTTAACACCAATCCTTCTGAAACTCTCCCCCACCCAAAAAAAAAAAATCAAAGAGGAGGATATACCCCCAAACTCATTTTATGAGGCCAGCATTACCCTGATACTAAAGCTGGACAAAGACATGACAAGAAAAGGAAACTGTAGATAGGTCAATATCCCAGATGAATATAGATGCAAATATTTTCAATGCCAGCAAACTAAATTCAGCAGCACTAAAAGGATCATTCATCATTGTAAAGAGGGATTTATCCCTGGGATGCAAGGATGGCTTGAATTGATCAGTGTGATATATTACATTAATATAAAGATCAGATTATCTCAGTAGATACAGAAAAATCATTTGACAAAATTCAACATTCCTCCACTCATGATGAAAACTCTCAACCAGTTAGGTATAGAAGGAACATACCTCAACATAATGAAGTCCACGTATGACAAGCCCACAGCCAACATTATACTCAATGGTGAAAGGCTGAAGGCATCTCCATTAAGATGTGAGGCAAAGGTGCCCATTCTTACCAGTTCTATTCAACAGAGCACCGGAAGTCCTAGCCAAAACAATCAAGCAAGAAAAGGAAAGAAAAGGCATCCAAGTTGGAAAGGAAGAAGTACAACTTTCTGTTTGAAGATGATATGATTTAACTAACCAAGCAGGTGAAAGATCCCTACACTAAAAACTATAAGACACTGATGAAAGAAACTGAAGACAAATACGTAGAGTCTTGTGTTCATGGATTAGAAGACTCAATATTGTTAAAATGTCCATTCTATCCAAAACTACCTACGGATCAATGTAATCCCTTTCAAAATTCCAATGGGATTTTTTACAGAAGTAGAAAATCAAACCTAAAATTCATACGGAGCTACCAAAGCCCCCAAATAGCCAAAGCAATCCTGAGAAAGAAGAACGAAGCAGGAGGCATCATACTTCCTGATTTCAAGCTATACTGTAAAGCTATAGTCATCAGGCAGCACGGTCCTGGCATAGAAATAGACCAATGGAATGGAATCAAGAAAGCAGCAGTAAACCCATGATACAGTCAACTAATGTTTGACAAGGGAGCCAAGAACATTCAATGGAGAAAAGACAGTATCCAATAAATGGTACTTGAATAACTAAATATTCACATGTAAAAGATTGACACTCGATCCCTATCTTACACAACTCACAAAAATTAACTCAAAATGGACTTAAGACTTAAATTTAAAACTGGAAACCATAAAACTCCTAGGAGAAAAGCTCCTTGACATGGGCCTTGGCAATGATTTATTTTTGGGTATGACCTACAGCATAAGCAACAAAAACAGGTGGGACTTTATCAAACTTAACTCCTGCATGGCAAAAGAAACTGTTAATGAAATGAAAAGAACCTATGAAATGGGAAAAAAGATTGGCAAACCATATAACTGGTAAGGAGTTAGTACCCAAAATATATAAAGAACTCCTACAACTCAATAACAGGAAGACGTACAGATGGCTAACAGGTACATGAAAGAATGCTCTACATCGTTAATCATCAGGGAAATACAAAAAAAATCACAATGAGATATCACCTCATGCCTGTTAGAATGGCCATCATAAAAAAAAAAGACAAAATCTGGCAAGAATGTGGAGAAAGGGGACTCTTGATGGGAATGTAAATTTGTACAGCCACTGTGGAAAACAGTACAGAGGATCCTCAAAAAAAATTAAAATTAGAACTGCCGTATGATTCAGCAATTTCACTTCCAGGAATATATCCAAAGGAAATAACACTATGTCAAAGAGATACCTGCACCCCATGTTCATGGTAGCATCATTTATGATAGCCAAGATAGGAAACAATTTAAGTGCTGATTAATGGATGAATGGATAAAGTTGTATGTATGTATGTGTGTATACACACACACACACACACACACACACACACAATGGAATATTATTCAGCCATGAAAAGAAGGAAACCCTGCCGATTATGACAACCTGGATAGACCTTGACAGCATTATGCTATGTGAAATAAGAGAAAGGAAAATACTGTATGATTGCACTTAGATGTGGAATCTAAAAAACCACCACCACCAAACTCATAGAAAATGAGATCAGTTTGGTGGTTACCATAGGCTGGGGGGAGGGAACATTGGAGGAAGGGGGTCAAAAGGTACAAACTTCCAGTTACAAGAAACAAATACTAGGGATGGGATGTACAACATGATGACTTATAATTAACACTATACAAGAAAGTTGTTAAGAGAGTAAATCCTAAGAGCTCTTATCACAAGGGAAAAAGATTTTTTTTGTATCTGTATGTGATGATGACTATTAACTAACCTTATTGCGAAAACCATTTCACAGTGTAAGTCGAATCACTATGATGTACACCCTAGACTGATTCAGTATCTCTGTAAAACTAGGAGAATTTAAAAATAAAAGTTACTCATAGGAATAGCACTCATTCATGATTTAAAGGGGCTTTCCTTCTCTGATGAGTTCTTGTCTAAGTAAGTCCCAGGGCCCTGTAATTGTCAGTAACCACGGATCACCCAGGTCTCTCCTACCAGCTCTGCAGCAAAGCCCGGTACATAAGCCCTCTTCTCGGTCTTGGAGGTGATTAACCCTGAGTGTCTGACGCCAGCCGGGCCTCTTGTTCCCCCCAGGAGCATTCATACCTCGGTGTAATGAGGAGGGCTACTACAAAGCCACACAGTGCCACGGCAGCACGGGACAGTGCTGGTGCGTGGACAAATATGGGAACGAACTGGCTGGCTCCAGGAAACAGGGCTCTGTGAGCTGTGGTGAGTAAGGCCTTCCGCATCGGCCCCCCAGTGACCTCTGGTGACTTGTAAGTCCTCACTTCATAAGGCAGAAGAATTTTAGGAGGTAGCAGTGACCTACAGGAACCCTGAAACTCCAAGATTCTGCACAGCTAGCTTCCAAGGGGCAGGAACTTACCATGACTAGCGGATCGGACAACATTTTTTGACAGAAACTGTTACAGGAAAAGAGTGACTTAGACAAACCTCCCAGGGAGGCAGAAGCATCCCAGGAATTCTGGGGCTCATGTCAGAACAAAGCGTGTGGTCCAGGCCACGCAGACTAACCCCTCAGGGCAGGGCTGCTCCCATGTTCAGGAAGCCACCTGCAAGGGTTTGCCCTTCAGTCAGGTCACGGGCAAGGGAACCCCTCACATGGGTCATGAGGCATAAGCAGAAACTGACCCCTGGTCTTTTCTTCATTCTCAATGTTTCAGAAGAGGAGCAGGAAACCTCCGGGGATTTCGGCAGCGGTGGCTCCGTGGTCCTGCTGGATGACCTGGAGGATGAGCGGGAGCCGGGACCAGCACACCGACCCGGGCAGCCGAGGGTGCACACCCGGGCCGTGGCCGAGGACGAGGAGGACGAGGAGGACGACGAGGAGGACGGCGTCGGGTACCTGTGGTAGTCCCCGCGAGGCAGAGGACACGAGCTTTGCACACAATTGCAAGTCACTTCCTGTTCCCGCATTTGTATCTAGGACTCCACAGCACCAAGGTTTCTTCTCCATTGTCGCTCTCTGTTCCTGACCTAAGGCTTGGAAGACACCTCCTTGTCCCCAGAGCATCCCGGTTTTGCATACGGTTGTGTGGGAAGAAGGGTGTTGAGTTTTATTTTTCTGACAGGGGGATGGCTGGCTGAATGAGAGCATCCTTCCCTCCCAGGAGATTTTTGCAACGAGCATGTGATTGATGTGGGATTCTGACCGTGCAGGGAGCCCCCCACCCTCTAAACGTCAAAGACCCTATTTGATGACCCACACTGGTGGTCATTCCAGCATGGTTCCCAGCCTTACAGTGTCTAAGTGCTTTTCTTGTGTCCTGTAGATGTTGTGGAAAACACACCACACTGTACCTTTCTCCCCACCACCCCTGGTGTTTACTATTAAAAATTAGTTTTTCATATCACTCTATCTGGCTTCCTATAAACAACAGCCTTAATTCAGTCAAGAGTCCCTTAGGGGAACTGATTTCATGAGGAAGTGGTGTCTGGAAGCTTCTCGCTGTACATGCATAAACATGTATGTACAGAAGAGACTGGGTGTGTGCGCCTTGCAAGTACACAAATACACACACCTCAGCAAGTGTTTGGGTATCAAAAACTCATTTGACAAAACAATTATAACTTTATCGGCTTGTCCAGACCTGGAACACAATTTCTGGAATAGAAATTTGTATCGAAGTCCCTTTTTGCACTAACAGTTGGACCTTGTAGCCCGCAGGCTGAGGTTTCTTCTCCTGGCAGCAGCAGAGTTACTGGAAGCCTCTGATTTGTATAAGCCTCTGTCCGCCTGAACCGCTTTCCTTGCAGAAGCCATGAGACTCCCACGTGGGCAGCGTCACAAGCCATCTCTCTCATTCCAGCTCAAAGCCCCCAGGCCTGGCTGCCGCAGGTCCCTCCCTTCCCTACCTACCTCCTCAAGGGCTTTTTCCAAGGCACGTACACACACCCCTGGGCTGAGAAGACAGTACCACAGTGTTCCTTAGCAGAGAAAATTCAAGATTCTTATTGTTTTGTTTTTACCCCCTTGCTGCCCACAAATCATGCTGAGGGTACACGAGCTACACAGATTTGATGTCACTCGTCATTTGTAAAGAATCCCAGGTGGAGGCTTGGAAAGAACTGCATGGTAGCTCATGGAAGCTAGGGTTGGATTTTTCAGAGCTAGTTCTGGCCCCATTCCTTCACCGACACAAGTGTCAAGATCCTGATGAAGAAAGCCCTTCACTGTTGCGTCTCTTTGCCCTCAATAAGCTTGTAATTGTCTCCAAATTTGGTAGGGCCATCCTCTCTCTCATCTTTAGGATTTCTCTCCTTCCCTATCATGCTGGCCGAGATGTAAGTACCAAAGAGTAGTCTTCAAAGTGGCCCCATTTAATTTAGCACTCGCCCTGAAGCTCCTGCCCCACCTGGTCTCCACCTACCTGCCAGCTACCCAGCAAGCCTCTCTGGTTTTTCTCCCCCTCCCCATGAGCTCCAGCCAGTTCACAAAACGACCAAATAAACTCAGGCGAGAAATACATTCAGCCAAACCAACCATTTGTTTGCACTCTACCAACCAGCCTCCAACCAGGATTTTCTAATCCTCGCGTTGGCCAAAGTGGCATTATCCCTAGAGTCAGTCTCAGATGGGAAAATGAACATACTCGATACAGCAAACTCCTTCTGGCCTCAATATGCATATAAGTACAACCAGGACCCAACTGTAAGGGAGACCGCAGGCAAGCTCTGTACTGGGATCTCAACTCCCTCACTTCTATTTCAGTTTTTTTTTCCCCTCACTGAACAAAACAAATCATAATTTAGAAAACAGGTGCTTAATTGCAGCTAAATCATAGTAGAGTATAAAAAAGAATCAAGACATTACAAAGTCTCAGTTTAGACCATCAAAGAAAACTATTGTTACTGTCTCCTCTGAGCTTGGAAGAATGCACAAGAGAACAAATTAAAATCGACAAATTGATTTCACTTGAAGAAACTTCTAGAAACAGAATGAGCCACCGATTTTAATTTGCCTAATTATCTTACAACAAGTGTCAAATTAAGATGACACTTCAAGATCCTTAGCATTAACTTAATGACGGAGGAGAGTGCTCAGTAGTCAATTTCCAATAAGGTAATGAGATGTTCATTTTCGGAGATATTCTAAGAAGATATTTTGATTCATTAAGATATTAAATAAAAAGCCCTCCTAAGACTGGAACCCAAAATCAATGGAGCAACATTAACATCCCTTTGACGTGACATTAGATTTTTTAATGGTTTTTAAGTAACTTTTCACAAGTACTAAAGATGACATTTTTAATTACCCTAAAAGAAGTTGAATTTTGTTTTCCATTTTTTCAGTAGGACTCCTTTAGCTAGTGACTAAGGATACATAAAAATCTTGATTAAAGAAAAAACTACTTTGACAATGCATCCCCTTGTTTGAGACAGGTATTCAGATGAATCCTCACTCGACTTTCAGAACCGCCTTAGTGAACAGTTGTATGCTTACTCCACAAATGGTTGTTTTATTGAATATCATTTTCTTGGCATCCAACTTTGGTCCCCGAATTTTCTGCCACCATGGTTGTCTGCTCTATTAATGTCTTTTTGCTTCCACAATATTCTAGGCATGGGAATGCCTTGGTACTGAATTTGAAGTTTTGTACCAGTTTCCCCTTTATGCCCATTTCCCCATGCCGACATTTGGCCAGGTCTGCCCCAGGATGCCACTCACACTTGTTTTTACCTTGACCACATTGTACAGTAACATCCAAGAACCCTTTCTACAGTGGGTGGTTTGGTCTTTTTATACCTTTTTCTCAAAGTCACAGATGTTTGTCCCTGTTCAGTGTGTAACCTTGTAATAAGGTCCCACCAAATCCTGAGCGTCACTTTGTTGTTCCTATTGTAGATGAAATAGTGAAGTAGAAAAACCCAGTAAATTCTGAATGCTTTTCCATGTAGACTTATCTGGAATGTGAACATGAATCTTTGGTTAATAGTATATGCTTAACTGTAGTCCTGAGTAGGTGCATTTCTGTCTTGTCTCAATAAATTTTAATTTGTCTGCAATGTTTGAGTGTGTCTATTTGTTGCCTTTGGATGTGAACTCACAAGACCATATCCACACATGACCTCTTGAGAACAGTATGGGCAGAGGGGCCAGCCAATGAAGAGCCCTCCTTTAAGGCTTCTGTACCTGGTCGGGGTTGTTTGGGGGGGTGGGGAGGCACCTGTGGGTGTTCCCGCCTGCCCTGGACCCTCTCAGCACACCTTGGCACATGCATGCCTTGTGTCCACTTAGTCTAGAACCATTGTTATCACCTGGCTCCCCTTTTTGCTGCCGTCACCTCTCTCCGGCTTCAACTTTGTTACTTAGGCCTCACTTATCTGATTTTGCTGCCTTCATCCTGTTTACAGCCTAGAGCTTTTTCAATTCTTATTTCTCCTGTCAGTTGTTCTCCACTTCTGCAGAAAAACACCTCCCTCCTTTACATGGGACTCTGGGCTCACCTCAGCTCAAGGATTAACACACCAGATGCTTGTCAAATATCAGAAAGCATCTAAATTGGAACAGGAACTATTTCTTCCCACCTTTATCCACATTCATGCCAGCATGCCTGTGATTTAATTATACCCTAAGTGAGTAATTTCGCCATGAGCTGAGGTAGAAACTATTTTATGGATAATCCCATTCCTTTACCCCATGGATCGATTTTACAGACAATTTATAAACTGACAGTTCAAGGAAAAGATGCATCACAAGTCCACAAATGAATGTCAGTAGAACAGCAGCCAATATGATGCCTCCAGGATAGTTACAGGGTACATTAAAGAGAAGGTTGGTGTTTATGGACATATCCCAAATTCCTCTTAAGTCAGCACAGTTGTACAGGTCAAATTCATAATTTTTCTCAAGTTGTGACCTCCTGGATACCACTTTGGTCCATTACTGAAGGACTGAAGGAGGACTCGAAGCCAGTTTCCCAGCATGGGCGAGGTCACAGCACCTTCTCACAGTGCTTAGGCAGTTGTAAGAGTTGTTTTGATAAATTGATTCAAGGAAAGAGGAAGATTTCAAACTTTATTCACTCAACAAGACTACAGATTTATTAGTAGACTTGAAAATGTATGTATATGTTGGATGGATAAAGGCCGCTATAGGCAGGCACCACATTCAGTTCTAGGAATATAACTGTAAATAAAACCTGGTGCCTGCTCTGTGAAGTTATGTCCTTGAAAACAACAGACCAATACATAACTGTTACAGTATAGGTTGATGGACATCATAATTGATACTATGGCTGCCATGTTAAAGCTTGTCTTTCTTGGGTTCCTTTTATCTATCATTCCCTGGTTTTTCTCTTACCTCTCTGGCCATTTCCTTTGGGTCTCCCATATGTCCTTTTAGGTCTCCCATATATCCTTTTGTTCAACAAGTCAATATCAGCATTCCTCAGATCTGTGTCACCAGCCCCCTTCTCAGTGTCATGTGGTTTCTTTGGACAGCCTTATCTATATCGTTGGTTTCAACCACCTCTATCTTGAGTGTAGGTTTTGACTTCCACTCCATTCTGAAACAATCACCTGCCATTCAGCTAATTCTACTTGAATTTCTCACTGACACTTTAAAACCTTAAAAATCAAAAATAATAGAATGAAACAGAATGATTATGCCTATGACAATAGGAATCAGCAAGGCTTTTGTAAACTTAAGTCCTAACAAATATGAGCCATAAAGAGAAAGACTGATAAATTTCTCTCCATCAAAATTAATGTCATAAACAAACTTGAAACATAAGAGAATAAAGAAGATACAAAACAGGTGAAGGATTAGGATATAATTTTTTAACTGCTACAAATCCATAAGAAAAATACAGCCAATGGATTAATAGAGAAAAGATAGAAACAAGTGATTCATAGAAGACAAATGACAAGAAAATTATGCCTAACCTTGCTTGTGATCAGAGAAAAACAAATTATAGCAAGGAAATACTAATTTTCACTCAGAAAAAAAGTCTCGATCATGTCAAGTATTGATGAGAATATTTAAACAATACTCTTATATACTCTACAACCAGAACAGCCATGTAAAGGCATTTTGGCAATAGCTACCAAAATAAGCATATATACCCGAGGGCCCAATAATTCTCCTTTGCAGTAACTATACCTAAAGGGAAAAAATATAGCACTAATGTACATAGATATGTGTAAAAGTATAACCCATTACATACATCATTTGTTAGGAAATCTGGGACAAAATTAAATATCCATCAGTGGGCACACTGGGCGATGCTATACTCTGGAATACTATACAGTAGTAAAAAAGAATGAAGTAACTTCATAGACACTAGCCTAGCAAAACTTCAAGGATACCAGTTGTATGAGAAAAACATCAAATGAAATATAGAGTCTGAAATATATAAATATCCAAAAGGCAATATTATCAATTTTCTCCAGGTAATCATAGAAATGTACAGAACAAGGCTTGAAAGGACACACACCAACCTGGTAGTGGTGGGGACTTCTAAGGGAAGGACTGGGATAGGATCTGATGGCCAGTGGGGGCATCAACCTCATAAAAACTTTAAAAAACTTATAAAAATACATAAAAACTTTTGTTTTTTATAACAAAAGTGAAAACCACTGTAATTATAACAAAATACTTATAACAAAAGCAATATACTGATAAGCTTGGGATTTAACAATCAATAATTTAAAAATAATTCATCAGTTTCCTCTTTCAACTTTCTCCCCTGACATTCCTTTACTTCAGGAATGGTACCTTCATGTATGCCCTTCTCCCCAACTCCCAACTTGTAATAAATCACTAAGTTCTGTCAATTCCTCTTTCTAAATATCTTTCTCTGTATCTCCCCACCACTATCATGGTTCTGACCATTGTCCTCTTTGTTGGCTGTCTTGGGATATTTTTTTAACTAGTGACTTTATCTTTGCCCTGCTGTGCTCCAATCCCATGTGCTGCAGCTGTCAGAGTGATTTATTCTCAAGGCAAATATGATCATGTCACCTCCCCAGCTTTTCAAGGTTCATTTCAGGACCAAATATAAACTATGTGCTTGGCAAACAAGCTCTATATAATTCACTCCCTTTGTACTTCTTTGTCCCCTTGCACTCATCCCTTCTCAAATTCTATTTTTTTCCTAAGCACCCCCACCCTTCTTCAGTCTCTGTATTCCTGATAGTTCCTTTACCTGAAATGCCCAGGGGACTCAGCCCAATCACTGCTCCTCTAGGAACCCCTATCGGCTGCTCCCAGGAGAACCAGGCTTTCCTCCTCTTTTCATCTAGCACCCTAGGCATATCTCCAACACAAGTGCTTGGTAACTGCCGAGTCCAATTCGCTCAACAAATATGAGCCTTAAAAAGCAAGAAACGGAACACAACGGGCCTAGGAAGCGCAAAACCCTCAATCTTCCCACCATGAGACATTAAAAGAAAACAACAAACAAAAACTAAGAAAACAAGAGTTCTATAAAAGTTAAAAGATGAGAGCAACCAAGTGAATACCCAATCAACACAAAAAGCCACATTTTAAATGATAAGCAATTGCACAGTATTTTTACTTGCCCTAGACCACTCCCTCTGCAGTGCAGCATGATCGTGATCTAGAGGCAGTGAAAGCCCATTTCCCGATTCCATCCTATGCCAGAGAGAATAGAGAAGCTGCTCCCTCCTCAATATTCGAACCTCTCTGGGGGCTGCCTACCCATCTGGGGTCTCTGTTACCTAACTCAAATCTCAGAGAGGGAGAAACAGCAGGCACTGCTCATGAAAGCTGCAGGGAAATCACCCACCTGAAAATGCCCGGGACAAGAGATTACAGGTAAAGAAACACAATAGAGCATCTAAGGCTCTGAAGAGAAGCTGAAGAGAGAATCTCTGGAAAATTAAGGAAATCAAAAGCAGCTGTGTACATGGGCAAAAACTTGAAAGCCACACACATGTCCAGGCAAGATGCATGCTGAGACAAGACACATGAGAAAACTTTACATCTTCACCTTGGACTAATCCCAAGCCTCAGCCATGCCAGTTAATTGGTGAAGGACTGCCTGTCACACAACTAGTCGGCAAAGACTAAGAGAGGTGGATTTTTAAAATCAAGTGTCCTATTTTTTTTAAGGTATCATTGATATACAATCTTATGCTCAGATTTCACATGAACAACATTGTGGTTACTACATTCCCACTATTATCAAGTCCCCACCATGTACCCCATTACAGTCACTGTCCTTCAGCATAGTAAGCTTCTCTGTGTTATACTTCCTTCCCCTTCCCCCCACCCCATAAACAGAGAGAGCAATTGTAAAAATAAATAGAAATTCAGTAAGAAATAATGATTCCAGAGCTGAAAAATACAATAATTAAATATAAAAATAAAGCAGAAGAGTTTAAAAACACATTTTGAGCAGGCAAGAAAAATAAATGAGTGAATTGTAAGATATAACATTGGAATTCTCAAGTCTGAGGAGCAGAAAGAAAAAAAATAATGAAAAAAGTGAACAGAACCTAAGGAACTTACGGATCACCATGTGATGGACTAATATATATAAAGGGAGTCCCAGAAAGATTTAAAAAAAGGAGCAAAGAGATACTTGAAGAGATGCTGGTTGAAAATGTTTCAAATTTGAGGGAAAACATGAATTTTTACATCCAGGAAGCTCAATAAACTCAGGGTTTTTTATCCAAGTGTGATAAATCCAAAGAGACACACATCAAGGTACATAATAATTAAATTGAAAGTCAAAGATAAACAGAATCTTGAAAACAACAAGAGAAAAGTGACTTGTCACATGATAGGGATCCTCAGTAACATTTTCAGCCAATTTTCCTGCAGAAATCTTGGAAGCCAAAAATGAAATAATTTAAAGTGTTGGGGGTAAAAAAAAACAAACAAACCAGTCAACAGAGAATTCTGTAACTGAAAAAATGTCCTTCAAAAATGATAAGAAAATTAAGATATTTTCAGATGGACAAAAGCTGAGGGTGTTCATTACTACTAGATCTTTTCTACAAAAAATGTTAAATGGAGACATTCAGGTTGAAGTGAA